CTCCCTCATGAGCCCTTGATAGTTTATAAATTGTTTTAAGGACTCTGACGGTGCAGTAAGCTGTTAGGTTAACCACAAGGTTAGTGGTTGGAACTCAGCAGCCATGCATGAGAGGAAGATGAGGCTGTTTATTTCTACAAAGATTTACAGTCTCAGAAGCCTTATGGAGCTGTTTCTCACTGTCTTTTAGGAATCAGCTCGATGGCAGTGAGTTTATAGATAATTACTGACAATTTAAAAAGCGAAGTCTGTACTTGTGTAAACTGTGGAGTGCAGATGTTACACTGATTTGACACCCCTCAGCCAGCCCTTTGCCAGCCACTCTTCCCTGTGGCGTCCAGAGAGACTCTAGTGGGCTCCAACACCGCAACCCGTGACGTGCGCATGGGTTGGGATGGGAAAGGTTTCATTCTGTGAATCAGACCACATCCAACCTGCCACTGATCGGAGTCAAAGTGCTGGGCAGGCCAGGGTAGACCACATATTTGACTGAGAAATGAAACACAGATACTCGGGAATGAGCCCACGGATTCTGATTCTGTAGGTCTGGATGGGATCCGGAATCTCTATGCTTTAGAAGATTCCCTGTGATTCAAACATGCGGTCTATTGGGAAGCACATGAAACAATTGCAGCATGGAGTTCTTGTAGAACCAAACTAGAGCCCTTCTCAGTACAGCCTCAACTCACTTCTGCTGCTCCCACAAAGCCTTTCCCAATTCCTCTCGAGGCTTCTCTTAACTCCAAACCAGGGCCAGTCCTGAATGCTTATAGTTTCTCTAGAGTGTTCTCTAGCCCGTTCTTTATAGACTGTCTTCTTTCCCAGGAGCATAGAAAGCTCACTGAGGGTAAGGATCCTGCCTCAATCACCCCAAACTGTCTAGCCCTGTGCTTAACAGAAGGGCAAGTGCACGAGTCTATGGGGAGAAATCCTAGTAAGGGGAGTGGGCAAACCCGCCATGAGGTGGAGGATGCTACCTCCCAGACAGGACAGAGCCACCTCTCTTCGGCCCCTGCCACAGGTCACCACAGCGGGGTGGGGAGAGTCCATAAGCAACTGACCTTGTTCTCTGTGCTGAGAACAAACTGCTCAGGAACAGAAGACACTACTTGGTGTCTTCACTAGCTTCCAGCCAAGGAGTGACTTCCCCAAAGAAAGCCAGAGAGTGCCGTTTTCTCTTTTTATCTTCCCCTTTCTTTGTATAGAACCCCTGGCGGTGCAGTGGTTAAAGTACTCAGCTGTTCACCAAAGGGCAGTGGCGCGGTCTGCATTCATGAGGACTACAGGTGCGGGACACCTGGGGGCTGTTGGGAGCTCTGCGGGTGCGGTTGGGTAAGCACAGGACCGTTAACAGAAAGTCCACGGTTCAGACACCCCAGCTACTCTGTGCGACAAGATGAAGCGCTCTGCTCCCATAAAGGCTGACGGTATGACTGTGAGTCAGAGTCCACGCGATGGCAGTGGATGGAGGTGGCCGATCGGGTCACTATGTGTCAGAACCGACTGGGCAGCTATGTAAATTGGTTTTGCCTCTGAAAGATGAAATTCATGTATTGCCAGCTTCTCTGGCACAAAGGAAATAGCATGCAAATGATGAGCTGCATGTTTTTTGTGTAATTCTTCAACGGGATTCATCACCTCCTCATCACAGCTGACATCCTCCCATGTCCCCGTCTCAAAGGGTTGCCAGTAGCCATTGCCTGCTATTTTTAAGAACTCCTGGGCCCAGTTGCAGGAGCCCTAGTGGTGTAGTGGTTATACGTTGGACTGTGATCTGAAGGTCCACAGTTCAAAACCACTAGCAGGTCCATAGGAGAAGACAGGGCTTTCTACTCCCATGAACAGTTACAGTCTTGGAAACTGTCAAGGGCAGCTCGATCCTGCCCTGTCGGGTTGCTATGGGTTGGCATTGACCCGCTGGCAGTGAGGTATTTTAAGCCCCGCTGCTGGCTGGTCATTTCCAACTCATGGTGACTGTTGGAGGCCGCAGGAGATCTATGCTCCAGAGGGTGTTTAGGGCTGAGTCTTTGGAAGGAAATCCTAGGGCCTTTTCTCCTGACAAGTGTCTGGGTGTGGACTTGAACCCTCAGCTTTCCTGTTAGCAGCTGAACATTTTCACCATTCAACCACCAAGGACTTTGTCCAAAGTAATGGTAACTGGAAAATGCGGTCATTTGCCAATTTTGTCAATCCCAGATTACTTTGACCAGACATCAAACCACTGTGAATCCAAGATCTCAGCCCACTGCAGCCGCTAAAGCACAGCCTGCCTGAACCAACCGCCCATTTGTAAGTGGAAAGGAAAGCTAAGGAGACGTACTGTGTCCAGCAGAAGCTTTTCAGCTTTGTCCCGGCTGATGCTCTTGTTGTACCACCTGAAAGCAGGAAGAGGCATGGTCAACAGCATGCTTAAGGATGCCACGAGGTACTTATGCAAGAAAATGCTAGAAAAGTACCCACTCCTTTTCTGTTGCTACAGAGACCTTTAAAAGCTAAAGCAAAACAGGACACTTGTACATGTTTAAATTGGACAAGAACAGCTGAACAAGTGCTTCCACAAGAGAGATCACTGTCTAAGCTGGGTATGGAAGTTCATTATATTATTCGCCCCACATGTGTGTACATTGGAAGAATTTCCACAATCGAGGTTTAGAAAGCATTTATCTTCTCTTTAGAACACACTGGGTGGTTATAAGTAGGATGATGCTAGGGCTGGTATAAAAATGTAATATAAATTTGTGAGTTTAGCAAATATTCTTTTGAGACAGCTTTAGCATTTTCCTCTTTAAGGCTTGTCTTCCAGATAATCTGCAAAGTAATTATATTGTTTACAATGTTTTTAAGGTCTGGTGAAAACCAATGGTTGTTAGGTACCGTGGAGCAAGTTCTGACTCATAGGCACCCTGTGTAGAACAGTGCACACAGGGCCCTGCTCACTGCCATGCTGACAAGGGTTGTTATAGGAGCTCGTACTCGAGCCCATTGTTGCAGCCCCTGTGTCCGTCCATCTCACTGAGAGTCTTTTCTACTGGCCGTCTACTTTCCCAGGGACTGACTGCCGTCTCCTGATACCATGTTCAATGCACACGAGCTGATATGCTAACATCCTCGCTTTTAATGAGCATTCTGGCTGCCTTTCCTGCTGACAACCTCAGTCTTTTCTCCAGGTTCTAGGATGTTGTCTATCGGTCCAGTTTTGAGGATTTTGGTTTTCTTTACCCTAAGTTGTAATCCATTCAGAAGCCTGGAGTCTTTGATCTCCATTAGTTTGTGCTTCAAGTCCACTTTACTTTCAGTAAGCAAGGCTCTGTCATCTGCATATTGCAGGATATTAATGAGCCTTCCAATAACCCTGAAGCCTCATTCTTCAAATACTCCATGGTTCCCTTTAATGATATTCTTGTAGACTATTCTAAATGACACCTTGGAGAGAAACACTGAGCTCAATCAAAGTCGATATAGAATACTTTATTTGTCTTTCTCTTATTTTGCTCTTGGAAGCATGTGGCTCATCATGTTAGAAACTCATTAATACTTAAAACTTGTTTCTATCCGTCCACAGTATCTAGACTTTCACAAGCAAGAGCCGTCTTCTTGGGATGCTCAGTACTTCACTGTTCTTTGTCACAATTGTTGCCTTTTTACTAAAGGGAGGTGAGAAGCCACATCTTTCCCCTGCTCTCTTTAAGGCGCTTCTCTCTTGCTTATGTCAGCAATCAAACGCACTGCCATGAGCTGGAGTCTGACTCTTAGTGAGCAGAATCCAAACCAAACTTCCCGTCCATTAGTCGATTCCAACTCATGACAACCCTACAGAACAGAGTAGCACTGCTCCTGCCGTTTCTGAGGCTGATAGCCCCCTACGGGTGTAGAAAGCCTCCTTTTTCTCCCTCAGAGTAGCTGGTGGTTTCAAACTGTTGACCTTACATTAGCAGCCCAATGCATAACACACTGCATGCACAGAGCTCTTAGGGGGCACAATAAGGAAGCAAAACACATGAATCAAGAACAGATGAGGTTTAAATTCAACTCATAAAAACACCTAACCTAAAACCTCGCCCCCTTGCTGTCAATTATAACTCACGGTGACACCCTGTGTTACAGAGTAGAACTATGCTCCATGCTAGGGACCTTTCTCACCTAAGGAGTATTACGTTTTGAAGAACACAACAATAAACGTACTCATAGGTTTCCAGGTTATTTGGAGATTTTTCCACCAGGTAACTGCTTGGTACATATCCTTCATGCCTGTTAAAAGGGAAATTTGTATTAGGTTAATTATACCTAACACCCATGTTGCTTTTAAAGATTTAAACTATGAAACATTTAATAATGCACATTTCTCACATTATTTGGTATCAGTAATAATATGCTTTACAGTTTTGGAGTAAAAGATATTGTATAAATAAATAAACAAAATAACAACAACCTGTTAACTGTTAAAGGCAATAGGCTTCACCCCTAAACTATGAACTAATAAAATCAATAGTGGCTCCTTTATAGTCATAGCTCTGTTTGCTGCTCTCCTCACTGTGAACTTTCCTCTGCTGGAAAAACAAAAGAGGGGGAGCGATTCATGTGCAGTCTCTGCTTTTTATCAGGAAGCTTTTTTTTTAACATGTGATAGCAGTTTTTCCACTTCACTACCATCATTTTATAGCCAAGAAACCAAACGAATTAGAAGTAAAATTTTACTTTCCAACCACAAGTCCCAAAAGATACTGCCGGTCTATATTGTAATCTTTTGAATCCCAGGCCTCTCTAAGAGGTTTTTCTTTGGTTTCTCTTGATAATGAAGTGTCTTCCCCTACAAAAGGCCCGAGAGAAAATATGAGGAGATCAGGCTGGACTTGAGGGGTGTCTCTTTGGAACAGCAATTCAAAAGTGTGCGCACACAAAGCAGCATGGAGAGAAAGATGAAGAGGAATATCAAAATCATGTGTGTGTGTGTGTGTGTGTGTGTGTGTGTGTGTGTGTGCGCGCGCGCGCATAGTTTTCACGGCATCCTCCCAGCCATAATCTCATTCAATGCACAAGGTGAGAACTTTGCTGCTTCTGCTCTCTGGGCCTGTGACTTTGTAAAATAAGGAACCTAAACTCGACCATCATAAAGTTGCACTCTGCTAATGTACAAAAGAAAGCCTGATCATTTTTTCCGCTTCTGCCTCCTACCGTGGTTTCATTTTTTGCAGAATAAGGCTATTTCTCAGCCTAGTGCTTAATGGGCAAGATGTAATGCCTATCACAGTTTCTTTGAGGAGTGAAGAAATCAAGAATAGAGATGCCAGGCACAGAATGAGCATTTTGCATCTTATGCCCACAGCAAACACAGCCCATCCGTCATGCCACACACTCTTCAGCCAACTGCACAGCAGGTCTCCGAGTTCCTTAACTAGGTACTCAAGGGGCCACTGGCAGCTGGTAAGAGATACCTATTTGAAAATGACTTGTCATTCTGTCTGTAACTCTTCCGGAATTCCCCTTCATTATATCTGTCTTTGCCACACCATGGGTTTACAATGCTATTAATGATCAAAAACTACCTTTGTTTTCCAATAGAATTACTATGTTTTCATAGGCCAACTAAAGCTGGGGGTCAATGCAAATGATACTGGTTCTTTTCACTTGTATCTTATAGGGAATTAACAAAACTCTTCCATTTCCATCATCTTGGTGATTTTATCAACACCGTGAAGTAAGTAAAGCTGATACTGTCATTTCAGTTTTGCACATAAAGAAATAGAGGAACAGAGTTTAAGTCATTGCCCAAAATCAGATGAAAGTTCACATTGCCTGTCTGCCCATCTGCGTACTTCCCACCACCAGTCACTGTTGCATAGCAACCTAGGGAAATTCCCACAATGCAGAGTGCCCTCCGAGATACCCTGCCCGATGCTCTTTGAAGTGCTGCGCATTGAGCATTTTTATGGACCACTGTTCAAAGGGTAAACTGTCATTTGGAGAAGTAAGACCTATGAGAAGAAATTTCCTGGCACATTAGTGATGCTAAATGTCAGCTGAATCAAAACGGTGACTTTCTGAGCAAGTTTCTCTGATAATTTGTAGATCCAGGCCCCTGGTGCTTGCTCCTTAAATGGATCTGGTCATGTGATCAGCCTCATTCACTGTGAGTGAACTAAAGAACACAGTTCCAGAAATGGGCCTTTGAGGGTCTATTTTTAGCTACCAAGGTATATACTGCCCCCAAACCATTCTGGATTTAACCACATCTTACCAGCCCCACCCCCACGTGAAAATATACATTTTGTTTATGTCAATGTGAGGCTGGAACTGTAAAGATATTTACACCCCAAACGGATAATAAAATAAAATACTTAACCTCGTTGAACCGTTTATGTGGTGACACAGCAGGTTAAGCATCCAGCTGTTTCCTCTGTCTCCGTGTTTCAAGTCCAGCAGCCGCTCCTCAGGAGAAGGAGGAGCTGTATGCTCCTGTACGGAGTTTGTCTTGAAAACCCTCAGAAGCAAGCCGTCCCTGTCCTACAGGTTTGTTATGAGTCAGAACTGCCTCATGGCAAGGGGTTTCATTCTTTGCTTGGAAAGTTATCAAAGTGGCTTTTAAAAAAGCTTAATGGTGTTCAGTATTGGTGAGAATGTAATAAAATAGGCCCTGTTTGCAACTCTGTGGTGGCTATGTAATTTTGGCCACCCTTTTGAGGGAATTACTGATGTAAAAGTATATCACATACTTGGATTCAACAATTCCACAGTTAGAAATATCCCCTGTGGATAAATATTTGAGGGACAGCGGAAAATGAGGAAACCTTCAAGGAAATGGCTTGACACTGTACATATTCTCAGAAGAGTGCCAACAGATATAAACAAAATATCTTTTCTGAGGGGGGGGGCATTGACTGAAGTAACAAGCGGAGCAAACAAAGCAAGTAAGTTGGAAACTAAACATCCCCCTGTGACGGCCTGCTTCACCTTGATAACTTGATCATGTTGGTTTTTGCATTTATTTTACACATGAGATAAGTCTTCATGAAAACATGAGATGACGTCATAAACGATCAAAAGCTAGGTGAATAGGAGGGCTATGGACTTCGTATGTCCATGAGAAGTGGGTGCATTTTTACATGAGGAAGGAGCGTGGCAGAGAGCGGACAGCACATGGCTTTCAGCCAAAAGATTGGCCGCTGGAACCGACCAGCTGCTCCACGGAAGAAAGATGGACCATCTGTCTCTGCAAAGACGCACAGCTTTGAAAACACGATTGGGCAGGTCTACGCTGTCGTGTAGAGTGGTCATGAATCAAAAGCTACACTCAGTAATGTTGTCTTTCCTCCTCTTCTTCTTTGATTGATCTATGACCATCTTAATTCCAATCATGCAAAAATTTTAAAAAAATAAAAAGAGAGATCTAATAGCAATTAGGGCTGCATTGGCAACGACAGCGAGTTTTGTTTGCTTGCTCCTTGGTTGTTGGTTGGTTATTGGAATTGATGTGGGAAATAAGGAAGGGGCTTCTTTGTCACCTCTGCTTCTTGGCACTGGTAGTGATTGTTTTTTTAAATGAATTATTGGTATATGTGGTCTAGATGTAATAAGGGGATATTTTCTTTTTCATATCTTTAATTAATAATAACCTCATAGTTTAAAAAGTACTTAAAGCCTGGATTTACACAGCCATTGAAGTTACTCTATCCTGGAGAGCACTTTGGGACATTGCAGCTATATTAAGAGGGGACAGCGCTACAGTGAGAACGGATGCATTTCAACTAGGCAACAGTATCCCTTCATCCCCATCCCAGAGCACTCTCAAGGTTAATAACCTTATTGTGTTGTATGTATTTAAAATTAGGTCAAAGTTCATTTGGTTTTTCCTAGTTCTACAAGTTGTCAATGAATCATTTGGACAGCTAGTTCAATGATTTTGATGGCAACTAAACCTTACTATCTTCGTTCTGATCATTTTTAATGTATCTCATCTGCACTCTGTGGAAGAAAGATGAGGCCTTCTAGTCTCATAAAGAGTAACAGTCTGGGAAACCCACAAGGCCAGTTCTACCCTCTCCTAGAGGGCAGCTATGTGTTGGAACAAAGCCCATAGCAGGGAGCTTGGTTTGGTTTACCCTGCAATCTCCCCGGTGGTGTAATGGCTTACATCCTGAGCTGCTAACCCAAAGTTCGGACTTTGAAACCACCAGCCTCTCTGGAGGAAGATGGGGTTGTCAGCTCCCAGAAGGGCTTACAGTCTCAGAAACCAAAGGAGGAGTCCTACTCTGTTCTATAGAGTTTCTATGAGTCAGAAGCGATGGCAGTGTGTTAATCTGCACCATCTCTTTCTTGACTCAATGGAATGTACATCATCCTCATTTAAGCACTCCAGAATAACTATGCTTAAAACAATACAAAATTTGCCAATCTCTCAAGCTGTGGATGTCAATGGGAAAACCCAGGGGGTTTTTAGGTGAGGGTGCTTGTGATGCGGCACAGGAATGATATTCCAGGAAATCAACTACCTTGTACAGTGAGCTGCAAAGTGACTGCTTCTAGGCCATTTCTGAGAAGAGGTAAATCTCCCCTCTGATCCTTCCTCTTCCTCTCTCTTCCTTCTCCCTCTGCTCTCTTCTCCCAGCTCAGTCTGGTGACCACGCCGAGAGAAGTAGGACACATTTTCTTTGTCCCCACCACACCTCAAACCCTGGAACAATAGCTACCTCTTCTCATTGAGTTCACTGACTTTTGGCAACCCATGTGTTTCAGAGTAGCAGTGTGCTCTGTATGGTTTTTAAGGCTGATGTTTTTGGACATAGGTTGTCAGATCTTTCTTCTAAGGTGCCTCTTGGTGGACTCAAACCTATAATCTTGTGGCTAACAGTTGAGGGGTTTAACTGTCAGCACCACTTGGGGACTCACACACAGTAACCACACAAGTTCCTTACCCATTTCGGTCCTGGACTTTCCACCAGTGGATCTCAGAACTGTCCAACAGGTAATATTCTTCACTGCAGCGAAGGGTGAGCTCCTGGGGGTCGTTTGTTTGGTAGTCATACAAGGCAATGACCAAAGTTTCATCGGGTTCCGGAAGTGACCGCTGATGAGGAAGACGGCAAAATCAAACAGATACAAAGGGGAGGTAAAATGCAGACCAAGCTAGCAAATGCCCGGGCTGTGACTTGCTTCTAGATCTATTCCAGGTCAACACACTAGCCCCTGTAGCCACTGAAGCAACCTACCTTCTTCTGGTTGGCGATCTTCTTCGTGAGTCAGAATTACACGAGTGAGTATGAAACCATCCAGTGTGAACTGGAATTCATCACCTCTCACTTGCAGGGAGAGAAATTCCAACCACAGTGAATTCCTAGAAAACCACATGTTTTCCACAAGAGTCTGCTGTATCTGGTCACTGATCACAAAATCTCAATTACTGGCCATTAGATGATGCAGTCAACACTGACTCACCCAGTTGATGCTTTGCTGATTGGATCTTTGGGTTGTTCATGTCACTCGAATGGTAGGCTACCAGAGCCACCATGGCTGTGGCAATGGGCTCAACCACAGAAACTATTGTGAGGATGACGCAGGACACAGCGGTGTCTTGTTCTGCTGTGCATACGGTCACTTTGGGTCAGAACTGACTCCATGGCACCCAATAACAACCCAACAACCAGAAATAGAATGCCTTCAAGAGATCATTTAATCCAACTCTCTCTTTTTGAATGGAGAAACTGAGGCACAGATGAGGACATGGAAGAGGACAAGTTTAGGGTTTAATCTTAATGTCTTTTCAGCTAAAGCACAGAGACGCCCTTCTTTTGCTTGTGGGCTCTCTTTCCCCCACACTTCTACACCTCAATGCTTTTCTTAGGATGAGACGTTGAGGGTAGTGGAAGAGGGATTGTAAAATTAACAGTCATGAGCTCTTGATGGCCATACCTAATGTGGGTAGACATGTATTTTGAAAGTATAAATGAGGTTGCTGGCTAAAATGTGTTGTAGTCTGGGGGGAAATCATAGTCTCCCACAGATCCCCCACCCCCTACACACCTTTTGGCAATTGATTGGCTCTTATGAAAGATCTACAGTCGTACCTGTTTCCACCAACCAGAGGAAATCTGAAAAGGATTTTCACTTTAATGGAAACAGGTGAAATGTGGAATAGCATTTAACTTGGGTTTCACAGCAAACTGTTAAAGAGGTAGCTTGCACAAACTCCAGCCCAGCCCCAGCAGTGAGAGTGGTGTCCTCAAGCCCCTTCCCTGGCAGCTACACTCCTGCCTCTCAACATCAAGCCACCCAAGCTGTGAGCTGTACCTGTGTTCGTGTGCTTTTAGCTTTTATGCGTTACTTGGTAGGACTGTGTGTTTGTTTTGTGGTCTTGGGGTGCTCAGAATTTCTTCCTATATAAATCAATGGTAATTACTTTCTCAATTCATGGCCTTTTCTTTTACAAAAAGTTTTGTGGGCATGCTCTACTTTGGGATAGCAGGGGAAAGCGCTACATTGCAGGCATTTGGCAGCATAGAAATAATGAAACGGAGAAAGCAACAGCTGGTCAGACTGATGCAAAATGCCACCCAGCTCATGCAGCCCCAAACGCCAAGTCCAGGTACACGTGGTGTTTGTCGAGTGATGGCGTCTTGGGTATCTACAGATATGAGTCAATGGGGCAGCATTTGGTCTGAGCTAATAGAAGGAAGATTTGCATTTGGAAACATGGAAAGAAGATCAAGGAGAAATTTTTCTTGGTGCTCATCTCAGCTAGCTAACTAGTCATGCCAAACAGAAAAGTCAGAGCAGCCATTCTCAAAGGTCTGTGGTGCATCCCAAGGGGACATTCTGGACAGGAGTATTTTGAGTATCACACACTTCAAAGTGTGCTACTTACTGGCACTTAGTAGGTGATGGCCAAGAATAGAAACACTGTGATGTGTCTCATGTCCTATACAACTTTTCAGTGCCCCATGTGACCAAACCTTCATTGCCATCAAGCTGATTCCAGCTCATGCACCCTCCCATGTGTCGGGGTGGAACTGCGCTCCACAGGGCTCTTGGTGGCCACCATCTTTCTGAAGGAGACGCCAGCCGTCTCTTCTATAACATGACTGGGCGGCTCAAACCACCAACCTTATCTGTAACAGCCAACCACAAACTGCTTGTACCACCCAAGGACCTTTTAAAATTAGACATTCATGTTTAAGCTAATAAGAATTTGAGCCAAGAATCTACCGCTACCCGATACAAAGTTATGGGTTTTCCAGAGATACAACTCTTTTCTACGTTGAGGGAGAATTATGCTTGCTTTCCTTTACCACATTTTGACAGTTGGGCTGAGTTCCTGAACTTAACCAAGAAGTGACCACCGTCTGGAAAATCATATCACAGATGGCACACTTGTATTTGAGCCGCTGCTACGACATTTCTGTACCAGTCCGCGCACTGGCGAGCTGGCCAAATTGATGGGATCCTGCTTACAGGTGCATGCAATTGGCTATTTCACGATGTCTTCCAATACAACCACGGCCCACTATTTACAAAGAGAAGTGGATGTTGTTTTAGGCAAATCCTTTTCCTTATCTTTATTTTGCTAACCTCATTTATTTGTAAAATTACAGATAGAGCACTGATGATTTCTGAAATGCAGGTATTCAGCTAAGCTATACTATGTATGAAATTATTTTCAGGGTCATAAAGGGGATGTATACGATACATTATAAGAAGGAGGCATTGGGCTTAGAGGGCTGGGGAACGCTTGGTTAGAGTGAGTAACTGGAAGGACAGAATTTGCAGAGATTGGGAGGCTCTGGACTCAGGAAGGGAGGGGTGGGTGAGAAGCCTCTGTCAGTTGCCCCGTTGCAGCCTTCAGAACAGGCCAGTCCTCCAAGAGTTTGGTCTGATCCTGGCTGAGGGAGCATTTCCCAGCCCCGAGGTTGCAGTAGCAGGGATAGAGTGTCTTCACAGGAAGGCAGGGAGGAAGGACACAGGCAGGCATGCCCCTGAGTGGCTCCTCAGAAAGCCACCCCTAGGAGAGGCCTTGATGGAGGAGCAGCGCTCCCGGGTACACCATGGGGGCCAAGTGGAATTAGCATTTGGTCTTCAGTGTGCACATGGCCTTGTTTGCACCCACTGGCTGCAGACTGTCCCTTGCACTGATCATCGAGAGCCTCCCATCCAAACATGAAAGATCCACCCTCACCGTTTGAGTGTGGGGCCCCTTAGCTTAGATTTGGGAGTAAAAACAAAATAGCTTTTCTAGATGCCAACCCGAAAAGCCATCATCACTTCGGGGAAAGAACAAGAAGACGAAGAAAGAAATGAATTCAGTTGCTCAAGGAAGAGACGCAGTGAAAACACAGTGTGGTTGGAACCAAACAGTGATTCCACAACCCTCTTGGGCAGAATGCTCAACACTATAGCAACGGCCTCCTTTAAGATATGACAAAATAATAATTTAAAAATTATCAAGGGTTCATGAGGGAGGGGGAGGGGGAAAATGAGGAGTTGATGCCAGGGGCTTACGTGGAGAGCAAATGTTTTGAGAACGATGAGGGTAACGAATGTACAAATGTGCTTCATACAACTGATGTATGTATGGATTGTGATAAGAGTTGTATGAGCCCCCAATAAAATGATTAAAAAGAAAAAAGAAATCTGAAAAGTCAAATGCCGTGGCCTGAGGAAAAACAAAGGGAAGGGTTTTCTGTCTTTCGCCTTCACGTTGATGAGGGAAAACTGGGTAAAGATCCAGAGGTTGGGTTTAGGTGGGATTGGGGAGGGGTGAGGGGCGGGGAACCATCTACAAGCCAAAGGATGTGTTCAAAGGGGGCGGGGAACTGTTCTTCAGAGGATCCCTGAAAGAAGCGGGAAGAGAGCTCATTTTCTGCAAGTGTAGGTGTACTGCTTTCCTGCTGCGGGGGAGTCAACTGATGACGGATCTGAAAAACGAGCCTGAGGTGTGGAGGATTCAGAGTCTATTTGCCTGAGGAAGTTGTCAGATGGGAAACTCTGCTAGAGAGGCTTAAAAGAAGCAAAGCTTATCCTTCCGGAAAAGAATGAGGCAGCACAATCAGTAGCGTCTGCACTAAAGGGCAACCATTCCAATGTGGGGAAACTTGGGGTCCTAGTGGGTCACTAGCCTTGTGGGTTACTAAATTGGGCTGCTAACCAGAAGGTCAGCAGTTCGAACTCATCAACCACTCCCTGCTGGGAGAAAGATGAGGCTTTCAGTCTTGTACAGATGTACAGCCTTAGAAAACGTTGACAGTGCAGTTCTGCTCTGCCTGTCTGTGCCTAGATGGCTGTGAGTCAGAATTGTCTCGATGGCAATGAGTTTAGGTTTTGAGTTTGAGGTCCTCCGATGCTCAATGGCTCAATGAGTTAAGGTGCGCAATGGCTATTGTGCTCAGCAGCCAAGCAAAAGGGTGGAGGTTTGAAAACACCCAGAGGCATCTTGAAGGAAAGCCTGTCCACCTACTTCTGACAAACAGGCAGTGAGAACTCTGCAGAGCATGGTTCTACTCTGACGCAGGAGTTGAGAACAATTCCACGGCAACTGTTTGACCCAAATGTGCGTACTGGTATTGATATGACCATAACCGAGGGCTGATTTTTCACGATTTTTGTCTCCAGGACAGGATAAGTTTCCCCAAAGTAGGATTGATATCATCTAAGTAACAGGAGTCAGTACACTCAAGGCCAACCACAACCCAACTCCTTGCTGTCGAGTCCATTCTGACGCACGGCAACCCTATAGGACAGGGAAGAACTGCCCCTGTGGGTTTCTGAGACTGTGAATCTACAAGAGTCTTTCCTCCAGGAAGCACTGGTGCTTCGAGGCCATTGGATCTCCAATGTGAACACACCTGGAAATCACCTGGAGGCTTATGGAAACACACCTCCCTGGGCTCTCTATCCCTTGAGTGTTAGAAGGAGGAAGCTCAGAAATTGCATTTCAGAAAAGCAGATCTGTGGATCCCCCTTTGAGAACTACTTCTCCCGCGGAAGACCACCACACCAGCTACCCTGCACCCGGTCAGCTTTCTCTCGCACTCCAAGTTGCTCAGTGGCCTTGGGCAAGCCTCCAGACCTCCAGGGACGTCATTTCCTAAACCTCCAGATAAGAATCAAATGATAATCCTTTGAAGGGGGTGGGACCATCAAACTAGTTAATGAAAGTGGAAGTACTTTAAAAATGTGGACTTTTTTTTACATTTGAACATTCCAAAGGCATATACGTCCAGGAGTGGTGTAACTATGTGACCCTATCAAGGCAAGAGTCCTTTCTACACCCCGAGTGGCCTTGTGGATGGACACACGGGTTGATATCAAGAAATGTTGGTTGAGTGAATATAGTGAGATGGAGATTGGGCAATGGATGGGTCTTTTATGTGGCGAGACCCATGAGACAAGTCAAGCACAAGAAACCTACTGTACTGGGTTCAAATGAATGGCTGCTGCATTCCCCAGCGGCTCGGAGCGCCCTGGCCGGCGGGGGGAAATAGCGGCAGGAGCCGCAGCCCTGTGGGCTCGGGGCACCTGGAGCTGGAGAGCACACTCACCCTGTTGTCTTCAGGAGTAGGAGGAAGAGGCTTCTTTGAAGCTGAAACAAGAAAAACAGAAAAAGAAAATGAGCGTGAGACAGGCAGAGATGAGCAGCCAGGGGGCTTTTCAGAGCACAGCCCACCCCCCTCCCCAGGAGAACCACCCAAGGGAAGGGGCCAGAGGAGATGCTGAGACACCGAAGCCAACATCAGCATGGTTAGAACATGCACGTGCTTTCTTTCGTTCAGCCTGCTGCTTCCGCATTCCCTTCTCTGGGAAATACTTTATGGACGTTTCCAGAAGGCAACATTCCGGCTCCAGCCCTTTCTGTATCCCCAGGAAAAGCCTAAGTCAATGGGGTTGACTGAGGGGTTCGGCTTGTGCCCTTCCTTGTGGGCACAGTTGTCCACGAGCGTACCTGCCACCTGCTAAGCCCAAGCGTGGGGATTCGTGACTCAAGGGGACAATGACTCACTGGCTTCCTGGCGCTGCTGTGGTTTGTGGAGGGGGTGGACGAGGCGTGGGGCCATCGGGCTGCTTTTTTGAGAGGGTGGGATCCATTTTTAGTGGCCTTAGGCATCTGAGTATAAAGTCCTGCCTCCCCCAGACCGAAGCCCGCAACCTTTCTCGCTCTCTTTTGGGTCTCCATGTCTCTCTTCCTCTCTCTTTCCTTACACTCTTCCCTCTTTCCCCTTTCTGCCTCCCTCCCCTCGCCTCCCTGCCTTCTCTCTTCTCTCTTCACCCCTCTCCTTCCTTCCGTCTTCTCTTGCCCCGCTCTCACTATTGCTCCTTCACGGCTCTGCACTGGCAGGCCTGGAATCAGCGGACCCAAACCGAGTGAGGGTGGGTCTGGGAGGCGGTGCACAGACTCAAGCGTAACAGAAAGCCAAACTCACAGGCGTCGAGCCCATTCTGACTTCAGGGGACCCCCAGGACAGAGCAGAACTGCTTCTGCGGGTTTCAGAGGCTATAAATCTTTCCCGAAGCAGAAAACCTCATCTTCCTATTTGGCTCAAGACATTTGTAATAATTTGTAATAATTGTAAAAATGAAGGGGGTGGGTTACTAAATTAGGCAGTGAGCTCCTGGTCTCGGCATGAGATTACTTGAAGGTGGACTGTGCCACGAGGGGGAAACAGCAAAGGCGACTCTAGATTCGAAACTGGAGCCCAGGCCCTGGGCTAACTCCTATGGGGTGTGAATTTGGGTAGGAAATTAACAGAAATGCAGGGAGGAAGGAAAATTCACATAATAGAAAATATGACTCCTATTTCGCAGTTAGGAGGCCTGGAGGCCTAGTGGTTTACACATTGGGCAGCTAACCTCAAGGTCAGAAGGGAGAAAGATGAGGCTTTCTATGCCCATAGAGATGTACAGTCTCAGAAACTGTGAAAATGCCCTTTGTCCTTTGGGTCACGATGAATCTGATTGAGGCGATGGCACAGAGTGATGCAGCACTCCATATGGAACCAGAAGACTAGTGTTCGAATCCCAGCTCTGCCATTAAGAGCTGTGTGGCCTTGGATCAGGGCCAATTCTCACCACACAAATGGGTATTGCCCTGGGCTAAGTGGAGTTGGGCCCATTTTTGTCCAATTACTTCCGATACGTCCCAAGTTACCTACACATAACCACCTCCCAACACACACACACACACACACACACACCTGTAGCACTATGGCTGAGTGTCAGATTCTCCTGCCCAGAAACAAGATCAGTAGACACGATTAACATGTACCGAGAGCTCATCAGTGCCAGTGGCTGGGCTACAAGGATTCTGTTCATCAGACGAATCTCCAACCATCTCCATGAAGTAGCCGCTGTCACAAGCTCCATTTTACAGAAGAGGAAGGTGGCTCAGCGTCTTAGATTACCTATCATACACCGAGTCACAAAGCAAGGAGTGCTGGCGTTGGCACTCAGATGTTTCTTAACCCCGAAGGCCCATGCTCTTAGACTGTGCTGTACAGGAGCCGGCAGGCTTTCGCTCAGACGCACCACCGAGCAGGGCCGCGTGCACCGAGCAGAGGCTTCCTGCGGCTCGGCTCCACGTGCTGTCGAGATGGGGCGGCAGGAGGGCGAAGCATGAGCAGCTGGACCGAAGGGAAACGGCAGGTGGTTGCAACAGAACCATTAGCCTAGTGAATGCTCGATGCACCCACACGCGTGACCATGAGTGGCTCGCACGAGGGTGGGAGGAGTTCCGCATGTGCAGCCCCCAACCCCCCACCGCCACCCCCCACGCACAGTCCTAGGGAGTGACCTGCAGGTTCCTAGCACCTCAGTCACGTGCCCACCCTGGGAAGAGTAGCTGACATATGAATGGGGAAAACTGCACAATGGAAACAGACTCAAGAGCTTCAGAATGGAAAGGGAACTCAGAGGTGACCGCATGCCACCTCTCCTCCAGCCTTCCCTCCCAAGGGGACTTCGCCGTGGTCGCCAGCAAGGTGCTGGCAGGAATTTGAAGACCGGCTCTCAGGCTTTAGAAAGGGCCTCTCACTTCCTGAGACAAGCTCAGGCCATCTCCCTTCTTTTGGAGAATCTCACTCCTCAAATAAGCCAGGCAGAGTCAGCAGGGCGATGCAGGGAATCACTGCCTTGTAAAGCCTAAAAATACTCCTTCTGGGTTAAAGGCTGGTAGATTTCAACAGTTTCCTCTCTCAAGGTGGAAGGTGAGAAGTGGTGGTTTTAAAGTGTTAGTGAGAAGGATTAAGACTCAGGAAGCCACAGAGAACCAGGCCATGAGTCATATGAGCCCATCCACCTTGTCGATCAGATGTCTTAGGTTTGGGGTAAGAAAGGTTGAGGGGCGAGGAGAGAGCAGGCAGGAGAGTCCATGTGGGTCATCATTCCCATCACCAGCAGACTGACAGAGATGAGTCAGAATCGGCATGATGGCAGTGAATTTGTTCACAGCTTCCAGGATTTAACCATACCGCCATCTCCCCTGAGAGTTGTGCCCAACTATGGTGCTGCATCTTACTGTGTGTGTGTGTCAGTGTGTGTGTGCATGTGTGATGCCCAGAAGTGAATATTGAGTTGGCCATAAAGTCCCAGGACCTGAGGCTTTGACCTCAAAGGCCAAAACATAATTAGGTTTTCCACTTTTCATTTAGACGGTGGCCTCTTTCTCTGAGGCTTTGAAGGTCAAGGATGAATTTGAAGGAGATGTGGGAGAAATCCATTGAGTTGGAAAAGATTTTTTTTTAACTCCCTTATCTCCACCGTCCAATAAACACATCTGCTGTTGTTAGGTGCCATCGAGTCAGCTCCCAGCCACAGCGACCCCTGTGCACAGCAGGGCTAAACGCTGTTTGGTCCTGGGCCATCCTCACAATCCTTCCTATGCCTGAGCCCCTTGAGGTAGCCGCTATCAATCCATCTCATAGTGGGCCTTCCTCTTCTTTGCTGCCCCTCCACTTTACCAACCAGGTCCTTCTCCAGGGACTGGTCTTTCCTGATGGTATATCCAAAGTTGTGAAAGGAAGCCTTGCCAGCCTTGCCTCTCAGAAGCACTCTGGCAAGATTTCTTCCAAGACAGAACGTAGGAGGACTCGTCTCCCCAGTTTGGAGGAAGAAGTCGCCGACAACCTTCTGCACAACTTCGAAGCATTTTCAATAAACACATGATAGGATATCACTGTGAATGAGTAATATCATATATCCATAAAGGCTGTCTCTAATGTTTAAGACCCACCCCACCCCCACTCTCTATAGGGTTGTGATGCCACCAGTATTTCAAATACCAACAGGCTTATTCATGGTGGATAGGCTTTAGCAAAGTTTCCTGAAAGAAGGGCTGGATGATGTCCTTCCAAAAACCAATCTACTAAAACCTTGTGAATCACAGCAAAACGCTGCCCCAGAGAGTGCTGGGCGCTGGCCCCCTGGGCATTCAAAACACACAGTGGCCACAACATTGGACTTGGGCCTTCCAAGGACGATGAAGACGATGGGGGACCAGGCAGTGCTTTCTCCTGTTATACACAGGGTTGCCGTGAGTTGGAGCTGATTGATGGCAACTGACAAAAGTAATATGAAAGGCTTCACAAAAGTACGTGGGGAATGAAATGCAAAGAGAGTAACAGACCCTTTCCCCCGACTTTTTGGAGCCCTTTCATTCTTGAGTAATGCCATTCCCATTTACCCACACGCAGTCACAGCAGTGCTTCTCAAATGTCAACAGGCACACCGGTCTCCCAGCGATTTTGTGACCCTATGAATCCCGCTCTAGGTCTATAGGGAGGCCAGAACATTTCTCACTCGCTCCCAGGTCATGTTGATGCTGTCTGTCTACGGACCACACTCTTCCGGTTAAAGGGAAAGGAAGAAAAATCAAGAAACTGGTGGTAGAACCAGATGATTCCCCCTAGAAAGTTCTGAAAACCCAGAATTTTCTACTCACTTCCTGACACGCCAGCGAGCTTTTCCTACCTACGAACACAGAGGTTGATCATTTCAAAACAGACGCAAGGGGCCTCCCGGGTCTCTTACAGTTCTTGGACGGGTCGTACTCGGCACAGCCGACGGCCAGCTTCTCCAGCTGAGCACAGCACCTCCATCTCCCATCGATCCAGAAATTAGGGTGATACTTGGACACCAAACTGTTGTTGTTTCTTGTTTCTGAAAGGGGTGGCACCAAAAGAAGAATGATTTCCTGGTCAGTGTGTCAAGCCATCACTTGACAGCTCCCTGGGATTTGACCCTGCGCCCTGACCTGGAGTTCATCCATCAGGAGAGTCAGTGAAAAGTACTTTTGACCGGACGCCTGAATTTGTTGTGTCTTTCCTGAGGCACCTGTGTTGGACTTAGGCATCAGCAGGTCTGTGCTTGGCTCTGTCTTATGTCCTGGGGATAGGTAAGCCCTCCACCTGAGCCTCAGTTTCCCAGCTGTGCAATGTGGATGTTAGACTGGAGTTGTGGGCTCCACAAAAGTGCCTGAGGGGTCATGGGATGTCTGAGTTGGTGGGATTCTGGCACTTCCCCCCTTTCTACCTTCAGTCACAGGAACCAGGCTTTCGGCCCTTCCAGATCTGTGGCTGTGAAATAAAGTTTTGGTATGAATAATTTAAAGCAGGATAAAACCTGCAGAACTAGTTAACTAATTTCCAATGCTCCTTCCAGTTCCAATATCCTGCGAGTCAATGTTTTGCCTAGAGGGAAGACTGCAGAGGAGTTGTTTGCCCTGGACGATGCAGAGAGAAGGCCCTTTCCATTATATCTTACCCTAAAGCTTGTGTTCCGTGCTTGGGGTTACTACATGCCCGAGAGCACCTTCTCTTGAGAGCGGCAGCGTCGCCCCCATTTGAAACAAAGCTGTGAGAGAAGCTAGGACTTAGATTTTTATTCTCATTCTTTTCAGATAAAGTGGTTGTGCCTCTGAAGATTTCACGACAGCTTGCTTATTTTGTTGGTGTTGTTCATTACCACTGCGTAGAGATGGGCTCCTTTTTGAACCCAGTTCTTCTGGCAAATCCAGTGCTCAGGAGAAGTGCTCATACTGGGGATACTGAGTGCTTCTTTGGGTCAGGGAATTATTATTCTAACTATACTGATTTATTTGTACTGACTAATTCCATCCTCACAACAACCTTGTGTATTTTCACAACCATCTAAAATGTAACTATTTAAAAATATTAGCAGCCTTCTTAGAGTGGGGCAGCATGGCTGCATGTGGCCAGCACTGGTGCTCCTGAAGCAGGCTTCGAAATGTCTGTGGAAAGTGGAGTTAAAAGAAAATTGGGACCTCCACCAATACCAAAAAGGGAGGTTATTAGAGTTTATAGCTGAAGGGATGGATTGCAGAAAGGTCAACGACTGTGTCCAGGGTCCCACACTTCATAATAGGCCAGGCTGGGACGTTCACCTGAGCTGCCTGGCTGCACATCCTACCTACTCACACCCTGGCTGCTTCACCGAGGAAGGCAAGGCTTAAGAGACGTACTTTCATGAAGGAACTGAAAAGGCAGATAATATGTATTGGGTGTTGACTATGGGCCTGGTTGATTCTGATGACTTCATTCGAGGCTCCAGAGACAGGTACCATTATTCCTAGTCCCCCTTTAACAATAGACATGGAAACAAGCACGGAGCAATGCTGAAACTGGCCTGAATACACATGACCAGTGGCAGAATTTAAATCCAGCTCTTCTAACTCCAGGATGTATCTCCTTCTTCCCTTATCTTTAGGCTTTACTGAGCATAATTTTTCTTAAAGGTCCAGAGAGAAAATACTGTAAGTTTTATTGAACAAAAGGTAAAACTGAAGATATGCAGTAGGTATTTGTGTCACTATGTAAAACATAAAAGTTATTCTTAGCTTGGGGCCTTACAGAATGTGGTAGGCTGGATATAGCTTGCACTTACATCTCCTATTTCCTGTCTCTGGGGCTGGGGCTGGGGCTGGGTTGGGGTTGTGGTTGGAATTTGAGGGCTTTCCACCATCAACTGCCCCCAATCACCCTTTATGCTATTGTGGAACTAAAAAGCCCATGGTGGGATTGAGGGGTCTCAGGGCTCAACAGTATGCGTTTGCTCACCTTCTTTAAGGGCCAGGACCCAGCGCTGCCGGCTCTCTCGGTCTGGGGCAAACACATACAGGAGGTAATTATCATGCACGACCTGCAAATAATACACCTGGAGTGAGAAGTACGTCCTGAGAAGGCTGACTGACCACTGTCTCTCCTGGTTTACTGAGTTGAGGACTGAGGTCAGGTGTTTGGCATCGTACAGGCAAACATTGGGGTTGTTAGGGACCCAGGGTCATTTTCATTCAGATGTTCAGGTGCAGATACAGGGTGACCCTCAGAGCTACAGGCAGCTCCTCAAAGATTTTACCACCAGGAAGCAAGAGCTGCCTGAAAACTGTGGGCTGGACTTCTTAGGAGGAAGCGCTCGGGACTGCATAACACACTGACTTCTCATATTTCTTTTCCTTTTCAGTGATTCAAAAGGTAATCTTTCTGACATGTGCGAAAACACGATCACAGATGACATAAGGATGCACAGATTAAAAGGACATGCCATTTATCTTGAAATTATTGAAGACACCCCACATTTTCAAAAATTGTAGACTGCCAGTTCTCGTGGACCCTTATGCAGCTGTCCCCAGTGCATATGCGCAGCACATCTAGCATACGCACAGCACAGCTTCAAACCCAGGGAAGTCACCTGCTCGCCACACTGCCAACTAAATGACAGACCTTCACATTTCACTAGTCTTTGTTTGTGTCCCCCCGCGGACCAGCCCCACCCCCAGTTTTAAAGACTGGAAAATCCATCTCATTCCCTTTACTTTCAGATCTAACGCAGCCAACTCATGGGGGCCACTTTGCTAGAAGGAAAAAGTCCCTCTGCATGCCAGTTTACAGACCCTGGGTGGTGCTGTGGGGTAAACCCCGGGCTGTTTTCCTTGAGGTCAGCAGTTAAAATCCACCAGTCACTCCTCAGGAGAAAGACGAGGCTATCTGCTCCCATACGATATTTCATTTTGAGGAGGAAGGGGGAACGGATCACAAGGATCGACACATAACGACACACACACACACCCTCCATGGGAAAGAACAACAGAAACCATGGGGGAAGGGAGACAGCTGTCGGTGTGAGATAAGAAATAGTAATAACAATTTATAATCTATCAAGGGGTCACAAGGGTGGGCGTCGGGGGAAGAGGCGCTGTTACCAAGGGGTCAATAGAAAGTAAATGACTAGAACAGAGTGATGGCATCATATGTACACATGTGCCTGATGCAATTGGTTGCAATAAGAGTTTTAAGAGCCCCCCCCCTATAAAATGATCCTTTAATTAAAAAAACTATTTCATTGTGGAAATTCTACTGGGAGTCCCTGGGAGTCAGCAGAGACATGCTTCTTTTGGTTACACACAGTGTTGCTGAGTTAGAGCCGGCCCCAGGGCACCAAGAACTACAGCCCGGAGCATTGTTCTGATTGCCACCCTGAGAACTCAATGTTCCTTTTTATCTGGCATAGGATCTGAACAGGATGGTTCTTTCCCATAGCCATTGCTATCTCACACGATAGCTACCAGCCATATGTGACTACAAGTCTAAAAGCCCAACTCCCTGCCATGGGTGAATTCTGACTTGGAGTGACTGGAGGGCAGCATGGACCTGCCTCCTTGCGTTTTTAGGCTACGATGCCTTTCAGAAACCGACTGTCACCTCTTTCCCCCTTTGAGCGGCTGGTGGATTCGAACCACTGATGCTATGTTGGACAGCAGCCCAGTGCTTCACTGTTGCATCACCATTGCTCACATGTGACTTGAGACCAGGCGAAATGTGACTAGGGTGACCGAGGAACATAATTTTGAATATTATTTCATTTTACTTCATATTTAAATTTATAGCCTCCTGTGGCTCAGAGCTACTGTATTGGACATTGCAGTTCCAGGAGTTCCCAGGTTGTGAAATCTGAGTCTTCATCCTTAGAACCTCCAAGCTAGGGTCTCAATGTGTTGCCCCGTATCATGGAGTACACTGGACTTGAAGAATACTAGGCCTGGTTCTCTGGAGGTCAGCTTTTTCCCCTCTCCCCAGGGCAGAGAAATTAGAATCTTCCTTGGGATAGAAAGACAAGGGCTACTAGAGAAATAACATTTCCAAGAGTTTATGCTTAATCTTTGTTGAATGATGAATCTGCCATTTTCTACAAGGGCACAGAACCCTTCTCAAGTGCTGGCTAGGTCTTGTTGTCAAGCCTGGCCAGTCATTCCTTCCCCACCTCCTCTTACAGTGACTGCAGGTTCCAACCATGGCGCATGCCAGGAGGAAGCATCCCCTTAGGTCTGGTGGACTTACCTGGAATGGGTATTTATAGTGGCATGGGATGATAATGTCACTTTTCACAATCTCGACACATTTGATCCGGGAGAGTTCAATGGAGCCCTTCAGGGTGCGCTTTTTCTGTGAGCAGAAGAGCATATTCCATTTAGACATGAGTGAAGAGAGAAGAACTCCATTACTGTATAAGGTTACTGTAGAACTCCATTACTGTTTAAGGGTCAGTAAACCAAGCCCTCCAGATCCCCAGGCTTGCTGCCTGTGGCCCCACATGCCTGAGAGCAGCACCATCAGAAAACTCCTGAGAGACATGACCTTGGAATGGTCTTCTTTGAGTGAAGATGTCTTCTCTCCCACTGCCTTTGTGACAAACGGCAACACCATGTGTGGGCTTTCTCTGCTTTTCCTGATTAGCCCAGTACCTCAGCTCAGGCCTGAGCTGCCTGGTGATGGGTACCTCTAGCGCAGCCCTCTTTTTCTACATGACGCTTCTCCATGCTCCTTAGCTGTCCAGTCGGCAGTGATAGTGGACACTCCTGATGCTGCTGTATATTTCCTCCTTGTCTATTTCTTCCCGCCCCCATCAAATCTTACCCATGCTTCACTTCCTTGGACTCTTGTTAGATGTGGTTCCCTGGTAACTACTTTATTCGACAGTGTTCGTGATTTACGATGAGGAGAGCTGCCCCATGGTACCCATTTCGAGGGGTCCTGGCACTTGGAGGGTGGATCCCAAGTTCTGTGATATGCTATCCACTGAGACAGATTCCACCAGTGAGTAATCAGCCTCGAAGAGAGGCTACTTAGGAGCATGGGAGCCTTTTAGAGCATAATAACTTTCCGATCATAGTAATCTATCAGCTATCAAACAGATTGCAAAATATTTCATTATATTGTATTCTTATGAAAAATAATAATATTACATTCTTATGAAAAAATAGTAACTGGTGATGAAATTGGCACAAGGTTAGAAAGAGCTCGGTTCACGGTCTGCCTCTGCCTGTTACGAATGCTGTGACTTGGGCAATTCATCTAACCCCTCTGAAGCTAGGCTTTCCCATCTAGTAAGGGAGGGTAATAATACCTTTGGAGAGTTAATTGGAGAATAAAATGGGATGATGTAAACAAATTACCTGATTGCTATGAGGTGTTTTCAATCAAAAGTGCTCTCCCAACGAACGAGTTCACCAAACAAACCCACTGCCATTGAACCCTTTTAACTCAGAGTGAGCGACGGACTCATACGTCTGTAGGGCTGTAAATATGTATGGAAGCAGAATGTCTTGTCTTTCTCCTGTGAAGTGGCTTGTGCATTCAAGCCATCGATCTTTAGGTTTGCGACCAAGAGCTTTAATCGCTGTGGTACTAGGGATCCACTAAAGAGGCCAAGGAGGTCCTAACTATTGTACGAGTGAGTGATGTAGGCATGAGCTTGGCTGGAGTTTTGGAGGATGGTACCATCAAATGAGGACTGAGCTCGGTCACTACTTCCTATCTTTGACCTCACCTGGGATGCAGATTTCTGAGTTAGCAGCTGAGGCAGAGAACCGAGGTGAGAAGTCAATGTGTATAAAGTTCTGCCTATTGAATGCAGGGGAACTTTGCGGTGCTTCTTTTTCTGTTTTATTTTTTCAAATGCTTTACTCACTTTAGAAAATTAAAAGATCTATGCCTGTTCCTTTAATAAATAGGAACACGCATCGGTATGTGGAGAAAATATGTTAAATGTCTACCCCACCATCTCCGCTCCCCTCGGAGTGCCAAGATGAATCGTTTGTAATCTGTTCTTTTCTCCACATATGTCTAGTCTATCTACAAACAGAAATGAGAATGGACTCCACCTAGTGTTCTAACCTTACTTTCATAATGTAACAATGTATGGAGGGGTCTGTCTTCCTTCAAAACCTCTGTCAATACACACGCCCTTTGGACTCATCCAGTCTTCCCATTCTGAGTCTTCCACAGCAAGACATGAAAACCCTGAGCCTGCCCATAATCACAGTGCTTTGGATGACCTAATCCACTTTTCAAAAAAGGACAGAAAAGAGCTGCTTTTGTAACAGCCATCTGTAGCTAGGTGTAAACAGGGAGCCTGGGCTTTGAGGTTACGTTGCTATGTGACTTCTGTTGGGTTATGGTATTTCCTTAGAGGCGCACATAGCTAAGTGCAACAAAATGTCTGTGACAGTCATAGGACAACTGCTTGCAAGTAATTTTATCTTTGAAATATTCTAGCGCTCCCTGAGGTTAGAGATTAGGACATTTGCCACCATGTCCCCAGGTCTGAGCACAGTGATTGGCCGGGGGGCTGGGTGCCCCATTTGGTTGTGATGAGTGAAGGAACCAAGTTGGCAAACAGTTAAAAACCATCAGATTTGGGGTGCTTAGCATCAAGAAAATATTTATTGAGAGTTTGTGGTGAGTCGGATATTTTTTTCTGAGAATAAGAAACATAAAGATGAAGACATTCTCTTTGGAACTCACAATGTACTTGAGAAACAGATAATGAACCAGTACTAGAAAGAGGCATCTCCGATCTGTTTCCAAAAGGGCATAGCTTTGCATAGCTTACAGGACCCTGTTTTACTATTGCACACATGAGGGCCTCCTGAGTTGGAATCAACTCAATGAGCAATTGGTTTAGTTTGGTTCCTAAAGAGAAAAAGAACAGACTTGATGAGATCAACTTGTGTCCTGGGCAAGCATCTCTGGTAGAGAAGGTACCAGGGAAGAGATTCAGAGTTTAAAAGGCGCCGGATCTGAAAGGTTTGGGGAAGTGAGCATCCTTCCAGTGGGTGTCCACAGCAGAACAGAAGACCAGAGGTGGAAGAGTGCTGGCTGCATTCAGGGAACAGAAAGGAGGTTGCGGGAGCTGAAGCCCAATGTGCCAAGGACCAAGTGCTACCAGCAGCAGTCTTTGGCCTCCATTGGAGAGAATGCCATCTTAATAACCACCTCTCTCTTCTGAGCCTGAAGGTTTTAAGGTTCGGTATGTGCCTCTTCATTCTACCAACTTGAAGTCTGATAATTCCAACTTTTCTAACAAAACACAAAACATGACGTCCACTATCATGTATAATGTGGTTGAACGTATTCTCTCATTTCCATGTGTTTTAGGTGGAAAAAAGTCTTTGTGGTAGATTTTGTTTACTTCTCAATGTTTGTGGAATGAACAATGACTGCACGAAGGGCTCCCATTTTACTGACAAGGAAAGTGAGTTGAAAAATTCCATGGTCTCACCCATGGCAGCCCTGCTGACACGGGGCAGGTGCAGCTCAGATGCCCTGACGACTTGCCAAAGCACTTTTCAAAATCATGGCAGAGCCTTTTTGGGGGGTGGGGTGGGGTGCAGAGGCTTTTAGTAGAACGATTTGAGGCAATTTATTATTAATCAGAGCATCTACTAAACGTGGAGTCAGAAATACATAGCTCAGATCCTGCCCCTGCTAATTATTTATCTTGGGTAAGTCAACAAATACTCAAAGTCTTACTTTTCTCAGGTAAAAAACTGGGATTGATAATATAAATATGATTCATAAGACTTTTTAGAAGAATTGACTATAATCATATATGCAAATCAATTAGTACAATCCCATGTACATAGACAAATATCAGTTGTTCATAGTTGAAAACCAAACTTAAACGCATTGCTATCAAGTTGATTGTGACTCATAGTGACCCCACAGGACGGGATAGAACTGCCCCTGTAGGTTTCTGAGACTGTAACTCTTTAAAGGAGTAGAAAGCCT